CTGTCTGTGATGGCAATACGAATATATATATATATATACAATGGTGTACCCGGAACGAGCAAGGTCGAGGCCGAGACACCGCCGCTGATCGACTGAACGGTGGTCGCGAGGTCTTGGAACGAGAGCTGGCTCGTGCCGAGCTGGCCGAGCACAGACGCAAAGAATGGCAAGTACGGCTTGAGCTCGGTCGGCACCCGCGACGTGTCAAACTTGAGCCGAAAGTACCTACATGTCCCATAAAAATCGGTCAAAATGTGGACAGATTGTCTTTTTGTGTACGTGAGTTCGTTGGTCGACTGCGGTACGAATTGAACGTTCGCGCCACGCATCTCGGTCGTTAGCTTGGGATGCTGCAGCGGAATGTCGTGCAGCGTCAACGTCGGGAGGCAGTCGACGTCCGGCACCTAGAGACCCATAATGTCATTTCGTCCAATGATGATATAAAGACCCAACCTGGTTTTGGTGGGCCTGCAGCTCAAGGGTTGTTGCTTGAATGCGGGCCAACTCATCTGGCGACAAACGGGCTTGAAGGGCCTCGAGCGTCGCGGCTTCGTTGGCTTCCATTTTCTGCACAAAGTCGGTCGACGGCTCCATGAGCACCTGGATGGGCGCTGTCGTTTGCATGGGCGCAATCATGTACGTGCGAAGCGCATCTTGAAGAAAGCGGGGGTTCAATTCCATCTACAACACATGAAAATCAATCAAAAAGCAGAAAAGCGATTGCGTGTACGTCGCGCTGAAGCCGAGCGAGGTACGGATTGATACCGAGCGCGGCAATCATATCGCCGTCGTGGCACCACGTCGACGCCGCGCCGCGCAAGAGCGTCATGCCAAACTTGCCAACAATGTGTTTTTGGCTGAGCTCAATCTACCCGTATACATAGAGACAATTTGTTCACACAGATGAGTTCGTGGATGACACGATCTATTACCTGGTGAAGCATGGCATCGATACGGTCCACGTCAAACCCATCACGGTCGACCTCGTCCAAGACGCGCGCGATCGTCGCTTGGATCTCGGGCAACTTGGCCTTGTCAAAGCCTACATACTACGTCTTAGCCATCCGCCCATTTGAACACGAAACATGCAACACAAAGTATGCAACACGAAGTTTGCAACACGCATTTTGAAACGGGAAACATACGAATCAAAGCCATGAAAAAACAATGGAAAATCATGAAAAAACGAGGAAAATGCAAAATGACACCAAGAGCGTCCTCCTGCATACCTTCGACGCCGATCCCAAAGACGGGGTTGACCGACGACGTGTCGACGCCCGTGCCCGTGGCAAAGTCGATCGCGAGCTCCGAGAGGATCAACGCCTTGTACAACGGCGCCGACGGTCCATGCAGCAACAAAAACGACACAATACGCAGCACGAGGCACGTGTAAATGTCGGTCGAAAGTACATTCGGCAGCACGTGGGCTTGAACCCACTTGGTCTGCGCGGCCGCGTCGCCGCTCACGCCATCGTCCGGCCCTTCGAGCTGCACCAGCGGCGCGGCCACAAGCGGCGGCTTCACAATCGACGGCGCAATTTTGACGGCCGCTGCCGCTTCAAACTGCGAGAGGACGTTCTCGTTGATGTAGGCGAGATGGTCCGACAACGGAAAGTTGCCGTACGAGTAGAAGAGCGCATTTGACGGGTGGTAGTGCGTACCATGGAAGGCCTTGAGCTCGTCATGGGTCAGCGACGGAATGACCGCCGGGTCGCCGCCGCTCACGTGGGCGTACACGCTGTCCGTCGGCATCACGTGCTGCTGCAAGCGCGTCGCAAAGAGCGTGTCGCTGTCCGAGAGCGTGCCCTTCATCTCATTAAACACGACACCCTAAAGTTGTCACTTTGATCTGTGAAACCAAATCGGTCGCTCCTCGTACCTTGTACTGCAGCCGGCCCGTCGTCTCGTCGAGCGCGAGACGGTGGCCTTCCTGGAGAAAGTCCAGTTCTCGAAGCCGCGGGAAAAAGGTCGCGTCCAAATAGACACGCAGGAGGTTGTCAAAGTCGGTGCGGTTGGTCGTCGCGAACGGGTACATGGTGTGGTCGGCGCCCGTCATCGCGTTCATAAAGTTGTTGAGACTGCGCTTGAGCATGTTGAAGAACGGGTCACGGACCGGGTACTGCTTGGAGCCGCAGAGCACGAGGTGCTCGAGCTACGCATGGAATGAGCAACCGATCCCGTGCGTGGAGACGTACAATGTGCGCAATGCCATTCGACGACGTGGGCGGCGTGCGAAAGTTGACGCTACATCAGCATGCAAGAGGATTGCGAGAGGCGGTGTCGGGCGCGGGATGTACCTAAAGACGTTGTTGCTGTCGACGCTGTCAATGTGCAAGTAGTCGGCCTTGGTCGCTTCGTGCTGCAGCTGGATCGCAGTGATAGAGTACTCGGGAATCGCTTCCTTGCGCAGAACCTTGAAGCCGTGCGTCGTCGAGCCGACAGCGTACGCATCGACCGTCGTCGAGAGGCGCCGCGTTGCGCGCGCACACCGCGTCGCTCGGAGCAGCATGCTGACCTTCGCGAGGATTCGACAAGTTCATTGGTCGATTGCTGTCGCGGCAAGCAACTAATAAAACGCCCCTTAAGCTGGTCGTTTTCAAAAGGTCTTACCACCTTCACAAGCGACGTCGCCGCACCCTAGCACATTTCGCCCGTCGCCGGTCGTGTTTTTCACACCTCCAGTGTCGTTCGCAGAGGCCATGACGGTACGTGCGGCATGGACCCGCGCCGGGGCATGGACAGACGCCGTTGCCGGGGTTGCATTGCGTGGGTTTAGCCTTGCATTGCACTGGTTGTTTGTATGCAGTACAATACTATATCCGTGTGGAGAAAATGAACACTATAAAGCGGAATGAACACAACACGTACTATTTTATTATCTGACTGTTTGTATCACGCTGCGTTGTGTCACGATCGACGGGAAATACTGTGTCGTCCACAGTTGCAAGTGGCGAGGAACCAAGAGCCACGGCGATGTTGAAGGAAGAAGACCCGCTCATCGAGCTCATCCGCGAATGGATCATGGCGCCGATCGACGAGTCGGCGGGCCTCCAGCTCACCATCATGGAGGTCTTTGCCCTCGTCGAAGAGATGATCAACGAGCACGTTCTCGCACCGCTCGGTAGCCGCCTCCGCAAGTACATCCCCAAGGTCCGGCGCATCTTTGCGCCCATGAAGCTCATGGACGCGGTCCACATGTACGACGAGTCAACGCACTTCTCCAAGCGCAAGCGCGTCGCACCGACGTTCAAGGAGGTCCGCCACATTCTCAACCTGGCGACCGTACGTCCATGCTGTCGTACTACTCGCAAGCGTATGGCATGGCTCGTAGATCCATTCGATCGCGCCGACGCTCAAGATGGTGACGTTCGACGCCGACGATACCATCTACGAAGACGGCGGGACCATCAGGTAGACGCTGGTCTCCGTCTTCTTGCCTCATGCATGTGTCAGCGCCTCGTCCGAGATGGTCCAGGTCATCGTCGGCCTCTTGCAAAAGGGCCTTGTGGTCTCACTCGTCACGGCGGCCGGGTACCCGAACGAGCCCGCGCGGTACGAAGCGCGTCTGCACGGCGTACGTTCTCGCATCTTCCATGTCATCGTGCCGCATGCTGCAACATCTACTACATGTAGATCCTCGAAGTGCTCGCCGGCCTCACGCCCGCCGAGCGCTCGCGCTTCCTCGTATGCGCCTCTTGCTCGAGAACACTACCATGCTGAGCACATGTGTAGGTCATGGGCGGCGAGTGCAACTACCTCCATGTGACCGAGACCTGCGCGACGACCGGCAAGGTGTCGCTGCGCGTCGTGCCCGGCCGGGAATGGAAGGACGGTCGTGGCGAGCGCTGGGACCAAGCCGAAGTCGACCAGCTCCTCGACGTCGCCGAGGTCCTTTCGAATCTCAAAAACTCGCATCTCAACCGTGATTGTGGTCTAGTCCGTGCTGACCGAGATGGTCGATACGTTCCAACTCACGGCGGCGGTCCTTCGCAAGGAGCGGGCGATTGGCATCTACAACACGTCGGCGACCAAGCGGCTCTGCTACGAGACGCTCGAAGAGGTTGCGCTCACCGTGCAGCACGCGCTCAAGGACCACTCGATTCCGCACTGCGCGTTCAACGGCGGCAACGACGTCTTCGTTGACATTGGCAACAAGGCGCTCGGTATCTCGGCGCTGCAGACGTTCGTGGGTGACCGCCTCCCGACGCCACAGGTACGAGTTCCTTGCCTTGCAACTGCAACATAAAAGGACAATCCATGGGTGGTAGACTTCGCTGGCGGGCCACGAATGCCTCCACGTGGGCGATCGCTTTACGCGCACAGGTACAAGTGCCATGCAGCTCGTGCGGCACTGTCGTGATGACGTGGCATGCGTAGGCAACGACACGCGCTCGCGCGACGTGGCGTCGACCGTGTGGGTCTCCAACCCCGAAGAGACGGGCTACATCATGAAGACGCTGCTGCTGGCGCTGCCGTAGATGTGTCCTTCCTAATGTGGACCCTGAATGCATACTTGTGGCCTGCAGGCAAACGTATGAGCAGCTTGGCATGTCGTGGTAGATGGGTTGGAGATGGGCCTGGCCTGTCATCCGGATACGGGACGCCGGATCGTCCAGTTTTGTGGCAACTGCACTTGGTCGATCTCTCGTGGCTCGCGTTGGCCTTTTGCGTCGCCAAGACGCTCGTCGTGCATGCCATGTTGATAAACCACGAGCCAGTCGACAGCGTACTCCAAGTGTGGACCTCGTCGGGCTCGACGACGGCACCTTTCAACGCAGTGTCGCTGCGCAGGCTACGATGCCAGTCAGCGCGCGGGACCTGCTCGCACACTCACGTACCTGGTCGCGCTTGCTAAAGGCGCCATGGTGCTGAAAAACACCAACGACGAGACGCTCCAGCGTCTTCTGGACGAGCGATTGCCCGTGTGTAGGCATCGCAGCCAGGCAACGCGTGCACCGTACGGGCCGACGATGGTGCTGACGTATGGTCTTGGCACGTGCTGCGCCGCTTCTTGCGTCGACCAGGTCTCAAAGTATCGCGTCCAGCTGCGTCAGCACTTGTACACTGCGCCGGCGTTCTCGATTGTCTTCCTCTTTTTCGACTGGCAGTTTGTCGAAGCGTGGTGGATGCCACTCTCGGATGGCGTTCTCTCAGTTGGTCTATAACGTCATAGCAGTACTGTTTTGAAATACATTTGTGCATTGTTGACGTGTCGAAGCTAGGTGGAGAGATGACAGGTTTGCTGCTTCATCTATCTACTTATCTATCTATACCAGTATCTAGCTTCAAGTGGCCTGCCTCGCAGAGTGCCACGTCATGGCAAGGTCGGCATAGGCGGTAGCATGTTGTTTCGTCCGCACGAGCTCTGTCTACTTGGTAAGCTCTGACAAGGCTTGTTGCACCTGAGCCTACGAGAGACGGAACTGTCCAAATCGAATCTAGAAGCTTGTAGCGATCCTGCAACTTTTCAAACGGCGAGTCCGTCCAAGCGGCAAACGCAGGTATTCAGCATGATGATTTAGTTCAATCATACCTTCTCGGCCTTTTGGCTAAGATCAAGTGTAGTATCTGTTCTAATCAGTGTGAAAACTGATTTCCACACTTCGGTGTGGTTTTTTCACATTCATTTTACAACTTCCGATAGTCCAGTTGGCTTGCCACTGACTTTTGGACTGGTTTCCGAGGGCCTAGCACTCCTCCCTTGTGAAGCCTACCTACCTACGACACTGGACCTCCTCATTTTACCAAATGTCTTATATTCCCCTGACACAAAGTATTGATAACCTCTTCAGCGCGAAGCGCCTTGCGAGCGTAGCAAGTGCACCTGGCGCACCGGGGTCCCGTGCAAAGCGCGGTAGGGCAATACGCTGCAATGAAATGCGTTCGCACTGGACGAAGCCCGAAATGAGCAGTGCAAATCTTCGTGGGATACAGTAGCTGGCTCAACACGGTAGCGCGGTAAGACTCAAGAGCTTTATCTACCCGAACCCTTGTCAGTGCGTGGAGCCCTCCACCACTTTCACGACAAAGCCAGCAAGTGAACGCGCTAGAACATCTTGGATTTCACATGTTCCGTCCATAATCAATAGCCTTATCGCCATTAAGACTTCGGCGTGTCACCGATCGCAGTCGCCGCCTACGAGGACGCGCAGTCGCCGCCGTCCCAACGCGCGTGCGACGTGTTGCAGGGGCGATTGCAGATGCCGTTGCCAACAAGCATTGGGGCGCAGCCGTTGACGCACGGCGCTGCGAGGATCCACGAGGCCGGTGAGAGAGGCGACAGTAGCGGGTTGCAGCTCACGTCCAGTCGCCACGACGGCGGCGACTGCAGAAAGAGCGACGGAACGTGGCGAATCTTGTTGGTTGCCAAGCTCACACTGAGCAGCTGTCGCGCACCAAGCAGCTGCACAGGCACGTCGGTGATCCCATTGCCGTGGACGTCCAAATACTCGAGCAGCGGTAATGACGCAACACTGAGCGGAATATGACTCAAGTTGGCTTCGGCCACCGAGAGCCACAGTAGCTTGTGCCACGTACGACTGACCACTTCTGGAAAGGCTGCAATCGAGTTGCCATCCAGCGCCAGCGAAATGACGTTCGACTCGTTGAGCGTCGCGGCGAGCTGTGGTATCGACCGCAGCTGCGTATAGCGCAGTTCGAGGTGCAAGAGAGATTTTGGCAAGTCGCTTGCCGAGACGTTAAACGACAAAAGTGGGGAAAACGCGATGCCAAAGCCGACCAATTGGTCAAAAGGCGCTAAAATCGAGGCGTTTAAACCGTCGATGAGGTCGCAGTGGGACAGTCCCAAGTAGTGGAGGTCGTGGCCAAGGAGTGTTGGCGTCAACCGGTCTTCCAAATGCCGTTGTGTCTCGTTGGTAGTGCAGCGCAAATGGTAATAGACACAGTGGCATTCCCCCAAAGTGGTGAAAAAGGGTGTAATGACCTCGAGACACGCGTCCGGGCAGGAGCTTATCGGGGCAACCACGAGCCTACGACCACATTTGACTTCATTTCTAGAATGGAGGCGATCACGCACCAGAGATGAACGACGAGAACACAGCCCCAGAGCGACATGGCGATGCACATGATGGTGCACATCGGTGACATTCGGAAGTCCCAGTACTGGTCCCAGAGAACGCGGACAGCATCGCGAGTAGTAAGAAACACGCGCGACGAGCGCGGCTCACCAAGGTCACGGCGCCGCGGGCCAGGTGGCGGCGGTGGGATGTGTGGCACTGGCCGGGGGGCAATGCGGGGGGCTGCCAAGAGGACCCCTTGGGGTGGAATTTTGCGGACCATACCGGCCAGCGTCCGCAGAGTCGAATAGTTGGCCAGACACATGGCGAGCTTGAACGTCGCGTCCCATTCCGAGGTGGGCACGACCATGCGGACGAGCAGCGTCGTGGTTGTTCGCCACCGGGCGTCTTGGGCGAGGATGCCACCCGACTCTTTTGCGACCAATACCGGGAGCAGTGTCACGAGTGGAAACAGCACCGTCAGCGCAAACCTACGCCACAATGCACACTAAATATTATAACAACAGTTGGCGTTGAAAACATCCATGTACCCAATGATGCTATTGACAAAGAGCCGAAATGTGGTGTGAAAGAAGGGGATCGTCGAGAGGATGAACCAGGGCGAGACGAGGCAGTGGAGGATGATGCACGACACGTACGTTGTCAAAAGACTTTTGTTGGTCGTGAGGTACGAGAGCCACCACGCTTGCACGCTCTGGACGCCAATTTCGGCGCATTGAAACGCGCCTAGCTTGCCATGTCAAAAAAGGCGAAAATTCAGAAAAACATAAAAACAAGGGCCACGTACACAACCAGTAGTGGGGTGTCCGCGTGCGCATCGTCAGACTGTGCAGAAGCGACCCTCGACGCCGCCGCCCCGTCGGTACCAAGTCCAGTCCGACGCCATAGACGTGCAAGGCCGCCAGTAAAAGTATATGCTGCCGCAGAGCTTGGGTTGATATGCATTCAGTGTGCTACGAGGGCACCATGGAGTGAGTATATAGTCATGACATTGTAGTACATGCGCTCTGTGTTGGAGAGAATCGTGTAAATGTAACCCGAGACGACAAAGTAGACGGCCGAGACGGTGTGCTTGCAGACGCAGAAGAGCCACATGATCGAGCGCGACCGGATGCGAATCTGGCGCGGCGAAAGCGAGCTGCGTCGACGCAGCGCCGTCATGAGCTCCACGAGCGACTTCCGGTGCGTCGTCATGCGTGTCTATTTTCGGCCCCGTTTCTGATTGAAGAACGATGTAGGTAGCTGCTCCTTTGGATTTGAAGGCTTGTGGGTTGTCCTATTCCTACGGTCGTCCATTTATTGAAGGAAGGCGGGGCGGGGTCCATGTCATTTTCAAAAAGAACGGCATGCTTGCATTCAAGGATATATAAAACCCTTAGCGATGGTTCACATCTCGAGTCACAACTCTTCCGTTGAGAATCACTGGTACTATACCCTCCAGCAAGCTGCTCATCCAATTCGATATGCTCGAGTGCAAAAGATAGCTTACTGGGTTGGGGCTTCTGCGCCGCAGGCCAATTCGCTGTCGTGTTCTTAAAATCGTAGGACATTTTATCGCGGTAGAACTGTCAAAATCGAATCTAGAAGCTTGTAGCGATCCTGCAACTTTTCAAACGGCGAGTCCGTCCAAGCGGCAAACGCAGGTATTCAGCATGATGGTTTAGTTCAATCATACCTTCTCGGCCTTTTGGCTAAGATCAAGTGTAGTATCTGTTCTAATCAGTGTGAAAACTGATTTCCACACTTCGGTGTGGTTTTTTTCACATTCATTTTTACAACTTCCGATAGTCCAGTTGGCTTGCCACTGACTTTTGGACTGGTTTCCGAGGGCCTAGCACTCCTCCCTTGTGAAGCCTACCTACCTACGACACTGGACCTCCTCATTTTACCAAATGTCTTATATTCCCCTGACACAAAGTATTGATAACCTCTTCAGCGCGAAGCGCCTTACGAGCGTAGCAAGTGCACCTGGCGCAGCGGTAGGGCAATACGCTGCAATGAAATGCGTTCGCACTGGACAAACAGAGCTGGCCGACCAATCCAGAGTATCTTCCATGAGTAGTAACTATTGTTACAATGACAGCAATGAGCTCCTACAAGTTGCACAATAATGTCTTCTGTCACGATACTTGAACACGGCCACGCATTGGCACGATCGCATGGCTTCGATATTTTCCGGGCGCCGTATCCGGAATCGAATCTTTCGGGTTCGAAAAATCTTGCGCAGTCGAGGAGCCGCGAGCGAGGATGAAGACGTGGCCGCTGACGGCGACGCTGCTTGCATGCGCTGCCATCGCGCTGGCGCAGAAGGTAAAGAAGTGCCCCGGCGGCGAGAACCCGTGCAGCCTCCATGGCTCGTGCATGATCAGCCGCATGGGCGAGTACGTCTGCAACTGCCAATGGGGCTATACGGGCGCCGACTGCAGCCAGAGTACGCTGCATCGCTCATGCTCCTTGCTCATCATGGCCTCGTTGATGCTAGAGATGTGTCCGCATGGCGTCGACCCCACGACGAGCGCGACCAAGCAAGAGAAGAAGGTCCGGCTCCAAGTCCGTGGCCCGAGCGAAGACGCGTTGGCCGCCGCGGGCCGGCTCTTCCTCACGTTCCATGGGCACACGGTCGAGATGGAGGTTGATGCGGCCATTTCGAGCGAGCGCTGCACCAAGGTCTTTCAGCGCTTCCACAACCTCGGCACCGTCGTACGTCCCTCGACCTTGTGCGACACGCGATGCCCAACGGTCGTGTAGAGCTGCGTGCGGTCGCCGACGCTCGCGACGTCGGACATGCTGCTCCAGCTTGACATTACATTGCACTCGTTTCCGATCTACCCGATCATGAACAATTTGTACTTTCACGACGGCAATCCGCCCGCCACGGACTTTGGCTGCGATACCGGCGGGGCCAAAAGCCTCGCGTGTGCCTTTACGAGTCTCGCCGATGCCAACGTCAAAGGTACTAAGGATTTTCTGGTCTACAACGCAGTGTACAACATGTCCATACTACGAACCCATAGGTTACGTGCCATGTGCCAACCACGGCAAGTGCAACGCCCGGTCCGGCCTCTGTGCGTGCGAACCTGGCTTCTATGGCGTCCACTGCGGGCACAATGATGACGCCGCCGACATGCTCTTGGGGCTTGCGCAAGGCCCCTTTTTTTCGGGCAATTTACTCAAGTTGTCGGCGGCACGGAGTCCCGATGCAGCGTTCAACTTGATGCATGTCGATGTCGGAGGCATCCCTGTCTTCACGATGGACGGGCGCGGCGACACAACGCTGCACCAAGGATCGCTGGTCCTCGAGGCTCTTCGCGCGTCGCGGATCGAGGTCGTCTCTTGTGAGCACGATTATCCAGTTGATAATTTGATAGTAGGTGCACGGCGACGTGAGTGTGCATCGCGCCAACCTCCACGTGCACGACGGCCACGTTCGCGTCCAGAAAACCCTCGATGGTGACGGCATGGCGTCACCGGTCCTCGCCATCGACGCGCGCGTTCAAACCGAGACGTGTGTCGTCGACGAGATTGGCTCGCTCTTCCGCGTCGCCCTCAACGATGTCTCGCTGCTCTCGCTGGACGCCCTCGGGCGCCTCGAGACCAAGGCGGTCGCGGTCCACGAGACGCTTCATGTGGCCAAGGACACGACGCTCGACGGCAATGTGGCCATCGCCGGTGCAGCAAGCATCCGCGCCGGGCTCGATGTTGCCACCAACGGGCTCCGCGTGGCCCAAGGCGGCGCATTCATCGGTGGTGGCGCATCCATCGGGGGTGCGCATCCATCGATGGCGATGCGGCCAGTCGGCATGTGCTGCATCTGACCGGCGCGAGCCGCGAGAGCCAGCTACGGTTGGAGCAGCCAAGCGGCAGCCCTGCAGCGTACCTCACGTGCGCCTCCAATGAAAAGCGAGTCTTTGAAATCGCAGCCACCGGCATGACAACCGTCCACGGCCTCGACGTCCAAGCCGGTGGCGTCGCCGTGCACGCGGGTGGTCAAGTGATCCACTCGGGCGGCTTGCGCATCGCGTCTGGTGGCCTCCACGTGGAGAAAGGCCACGTTCAAATTGATGGGTCGCTTTCGTTTCAAGGTGGTCTCGTCGTCAATGGCTCCGAGAGTGCCACGTACGTCGTTTGGATACCCCGGGGCACACACGTGCGACACTAATGTGTAGGCCAAGCCTCGTGGCGCAAGCGGCCCACGCGCACTTTGCATCGAGCGTCTTGCATTTGGATGCCTCGGCGGTACCCCGGTGTCCATACCGATGCGGCCAATCGATTGTACGTATTTGTTAGGTGGACTTGAAAGCGTCGGCGGGGTTTCAGCTCGTCCAGGCGACGACAGCGGCGGGCACGGTGCTGGCGATTGATGGGTTTGGCAACCTCACAACCGTTGGCAGTCTTCACGCGGATGGTGCAGTCGTGGCCAAAGGCCCCCTCGTTGCCGAGACGCAAGCGCTGCTTCGCCCGACGCGGCTTGTCGCTGCCAAGCACCTTGCGATTCCGTGCACCCACAGCTACGTCCAAGTGCTCTCGGACGGCGCGACGCATCCCAGTAGCACGCAGACGATATCGATGGATGGCGCCGCGTACGGCCAGCTCCTCGTGGTGCAAAACGCCGACGAAGACGCGCTCTCGTCGCTCAAGATCCCGCCGCAGTCATCTGCGCTCTTTGTATTTGACGGGCAAGCCTGGCAGACGTTGACCGCCACCGAGTTTGACACGACGCAGCTCGTGAACGTCAAGGAGTTTTCGGCCGCGGCCGATCTCAATATTGGCAATCACATGCTATCGGCCAAGTCGATTCAGGTGTTTCGACAACATCTTTTGACAAAATACAGAGCATCGAAGCTCCGACCGATGCTTGTTGTAGGTGGCCGGGCAGACGGCGTCGCATGTCGCGTACTATGGCAAGGGCGGTGTCCTTACCGGCGACGCGTCACTGAGCTACGAGAGCGCGTCACAGACGCTGAACACGCATCAACTCAAGGTGCATGCGCTCGTGGGCAAGATCGACATGTCCAACTCGGAGCTGCGCGGCGTCGACATCATTGGCGGCCACCTCCGTGGTACGATTTGTGTTGTTTTGTATCGATGTATCAAGGTATCAAAAATGGTGATATCGGGTGTAGGGATCAACCTGAGCGCGCTGACGCTCGAGGTCGCCGGTGAAATGTTTGTCGAGTCGAACGCGTTTGTCGGCGGCTGGCTCACGGTCGACGGCCAAGTCATGGGCTCCGGCTCGTACGTCGACTCGTCCGATGCGCGGTTCAAAACCAACGTGTCGACGCTTGTCAATGCCTTGCCGCGCTTGCAACAACTACGCGGCGTGACGTACGACTACAAGACGGACGCGTTTCCAAAAAAACACTTTTCGACGCGCTCCGAAATTGGGTTTATTGCGCAAGAAATCGAGGCCGTGGTTCCCGAAGTCGTCACGACCGACGCCGACGGGTTCAAGTACGTGGCGTATGCGCGCATCGTCCCGCTGGCCGTCGAAGCCATCAAAGAGCAAGCAGCGACGATCGAAGCGCTGACCGACGCGGTGCGCACGCTGCAAGCGCAAGTCGCCGCGTTGCAGGCCCTCGTTGCACAGACAGTGGACTCGTCGCGACGCTAATAGAAAGTGAAGTAGCATTGCGTCGTGCTGATGGAGTAGATTGCCGTCCGCTGGGCTCTTCAACTACCGGTACTGGCTTGGTGGTGCAAGATTGTCGTAGGATGCTGCATTGATAGATGTCGCCGGCAACAACCAAATGCATGGGCAACTGGAACGTAGGTTGACGACCTTGTCTTGATATGGATCACAGAGATCGGTCCAAAATAACGTAGGGAAATACTATTTCCATGTTTTGCTCACCCCAGGAATGGCTGGCTTCTTCAGTAGGGCCATTAGGGACCATTAGGGAGGCGAGTTTGGGAAGAATATGGGCGACTTCAAATCCTCGTAAATACACCTTTACATCGGACACAAAACAGCGAAATTATGAAAAACGGCGATGCGTCAACACGATTGTAGCATGCTGGAGCGTCGGTAGCACACGCTTAGCATCACCTTAAAAGGCCATCGTGCTCTTTTCCTTGAGCCAAGACCTTTGAGACGAAGCTTCGGACGTGCGACGCGGCTCACCTATCGCGGAAATGTCATCCCGAACGTCTTCCAAGCAGGTCGATTACCACACTGCATCTTTATGACGTACGACTACATCTTGATTTCAGTATGATGCTTGAATCTTGATGGGCCAAACGCTGATGCAGCGACGTTTATGGGGTCGACCCGCCTTTCTAGGGCAATAGGCATCGCAGTGGTGACCTGCAGGGTGAATATAGTATATGGCACGTCGGCGAATCCTGCCCATCTTTTTCTCCTACTAGTACTAAGGAGCCGTCCTCGGATGTATGATGCTTCTCCGGTAAAACCGGTCCTAGACGATCGTAGATGGGGATTCCAGTTGGACAACCTGTTCAAGTCTACGAACCGTTTGAGACTTGAAAGTTATCGGCGTCGTTCACGTTCTGGCTGGCATTGACCCATCGATGACGGCCCGCGCACTGGCTAGCGCAGCTGGTATTACAGTTTGGGACGCTCGATGGCTCCACGGATGGCTCCACCGCCACTCGCATGCGTCCGAGACTGCTACGCACTCGAGCATAGTACACCAATCAATACCCATACATGCGGCTTGACCCGAGCTACAATAAGTTAGCTGGTATCGTCCATGATCACACCACGCACCGCTTCTGAAGAGGCGCTGGGAGGTGTCGCATCGACCATCATTCTGACATTGCGTGTTTTCGCTGGCCAATCACAACGGAAGGTCCAGTTCCACGGTCGTAGACAGCGAACGCACACGATGGAGCTCGACGACGCCGCCTGCATGGACCTCCTCTGCGACTTTGTGCTGTGCCCGACCTTTGGCAGCAGCGAGAGCGCCGGCGACGACGACGAGAGCCACGCGCAGCCGCCGGCCAAGCGCTCGCGGAAGCGAGAAGCCCACCACATTGCGGCGCTGCGCGCGACGGTCGCCGACCTCGTGGCGCAGCGCGATGCGCTCACGGCGCGCAAGCAGCGCGCGACGCAGTCGCCATGGGAGGCCACGTCTCGGCGCCAAGCAGCGGCGCGTTTCGCGGTCGAGCAAGAGCATGCGCAGCTCACGCGGGCGGTCGCGGCCCAAGCCCGGGTCCTCACGTCGCTGCAAGCGGTTTTGGCGCGGCCACAGCTCATCGACATGCCGCTCTTGGCGCCGCGGCTTCTGGACGCGCCGTCGTCGCTCCGGCGCGCGACCGCCGAAGCGCTCGTCCATGCCGAGTACGGTCGGCTCGAGAGCATTGTGCTCTCGTCCAAGATCCACGAAGCGACCTCGCGCGTGCAAAACACGAGTATCACGTACGATGAGAGTGCGCATGCGATCCGCGTCGACTGCACGATGGCGCAGATGCACAATCTGACAGTCGACCAGTGCGCGCTGGCCATCTGGAAGTACTACAACAATCTCGTGCCGATTGAAGTCAAAGACACGTCGTTCGTGGTCCGTGCTTTAGTTCGTACTACGTTTGAACTCACGAGGGGTAGGTGCTCGAAGAGTGGGACGCCAACTTGTCGTATGGCCGCCTCATCATGGAGACGCCCGGCGTCGAGATCCACTGCCACGTGGTTCAAAAGCGGTTTCTGGAGCCGAACCGAGTTGTCATTTGCTCGGCCACCATCGCCCACGATGAAAAGTTCCCGTACGACCCAGACGCCTACGTCCTCCATGAAAGCACGTGGTTCGTGCACAACACGACACTATGTGTCATTTTGTAGACAGTTGAAAGCTTCAACTATTGCATTAGGATTGCGATCGAAGCCGGGAGCAAGCCCGGTATGGCGCGCGTCTACTACTGCGGACAGGGCTCGGTGCCGTGTGCGCCGAAACCAGCACTCGCCATGCCGTACGAGTCGCTTGCAAAGTCACTGCACACGTGCTATAACGCCCACTTGGACGCGGTCAAGCTTGTGAACGTGCCGATCACGCCGCCGCCGTCGCAGACGTTGTCGGGCCATGTGGAAAACTTGCAGCAGCAAATCAACGGGCTCCAGTCGATCGTGCTGCAACAGCAAAAGATGCTCCAGGCCATGATGCTCACGCGGTAGCCAATAATGGACACGACTCGGCGTTGATTACCTCACTGGGTCTAAGTGAGAGTATTTTCCAATATAGAATAGTTTGTATGCAATGCAGGAAGGGAACTTGAAGGGATAACGCTTTTACTCTGCGTTGCATCGAGTTTGATTCCTTGTATGAAACACAACGTGTATGTCGTGCTCTACCGCGTGTTGCGACCGACGTCGCTGGGTGCTATGCTCGTGGAGCGCTTCGCGCTAAAGAGATTCGTATCCAACTGGTGGGACGACTTGATATTCTGGTTAGCTAGCTTGTAGTGTGGTGGGCATGGAAAGAAGGTGTCGTAGGTAGGCTTCACAAGGGAGGAGTGCTAGGCCCTCGGAAACCAGTCCAAAAGTCAGTGGCAAGCCAACTGGACTATCGGAAGTTGTAAAAATGAATGTGAAAAAAAACCACACCGAAGTGTGGAAATCAGTTTTCACACTGATTAGAACAGATACTACACTTGATCTTAGCCAAAAGGCCGAGAAGGTATGATTGAACTAAATCATCATGCTGGATACCTGCGTTTGCCGCTTGGACGGACTCGCCGTTTGGAAAGTTGCAGGATCGCTACAAGCTTCTAGATTCGATTTGGACAGTTCTACGGCGATAAAATGTCCTACGATTTTAAGAACACGACAGCGAATTGGCCTGCGGCGCAGAAGCCCCAACCCGGTAAGCTTTCTGTTGCACAGATGAGTTGTCAATCAGTCTCATCCATCGTACTTTGAAATTCTAGCGGATTCGAACCAAATCGTACGTACCTCCATGTCTCCTAATTCTTACCCCACAGGTACGAATTAGTGGAATCCGCATGAGCTTCATTCACAATCCGCTAGAATTTCAGTGTCGAAAAACCCGCTAGACGATTCAGTGAAAATCCGCTAGAATATAATTATCACTCTTTGTGGTTTGGACTACGAAAACAGCCTAATTGTCGTTCTACGCTACTGTATTTCTGAACACGTCTGCGAGGGAGAATATGATCCACGGGTGCCACGACCGATTTTGGGTCGACGCAGAAGTGTGTTCTGGGTCCATCGCTGCGTCCACGGGGCCCCGAAGCCCATCCTGATGCAGTGATCGTGAGACGAGGTCGTGAGCGGGATCTAGATCGAACCCAGATATACCAGTTTCCTCTTGTTGGTCAGCTCCGTTGCCAATGGACTGTTTGGTATCGCTTCACACAAAATGGCTTGCTTTGTAAAAACAGCGCGTACCTCGCTGCATTGAGTTGGTGTGGATCCGCCAACGCCACCACATTCGCCTCTCCGCATCCATGCAAGTTTCCACACGACGTCACAATTTAAAGGAACAATCAACAATAACAAGGACGACACTACTGTCGATATACAGCTAAACCATCATTGTCGAAGGCGATCCACCGCAACAAGTTCTACACCACACGACCCCTACTCGTTCCTGCTCGACTGACGCGCCGCATCCAACCTTTGTAACTTTTCGAGAGCTCGGATCGCCATGGTCCAGTCAGCCGGCGACTGCTGCCTTGCCGCGACAAACGTCGCCCACCCAAGTCGAGGCGGCAAATGCGCACCGCAGAGCGACCGCGATCCCAGCTTCTTGGACACGCGCATCGGACAACACTGCAGGTTGCGAGCGAGAAAAGACCGCAGCGTCGTGCCCGTTGGGACGTTGACGTAGCCTTGCACAAAGCATCGAATGAGCTGCAGCGTATACGCTTCTTCGGCCCGCGACCAGTTGCCACCGCGGCTCGCTTTTGTTGTTGTTGCTGATGATGGTGATGACGAGCGCGGCGGTCGTTCCTGCAGTTGACGGGTTGCGGCGGCGAGAAATGCTCGCCGGAGCTCGTTGAGTGCCAGCGCTGTCGTCTGAATGAGCGCCGTTCCAGCGTTTTCGTTGGCCTGGTACATGCGTCGTCCGACGCGGGATGGCAGGCGCTCGCCAAGAAGGTGCCCGAGACAAAGTTTTTTGGAGACGCGCATCGGGCTACAATGAAGCTCGATGGCGAGGTACCCGCGGAGCTGCGTGTTTCGAGGCACGGCTGGTAGCAGGCCGTTGCAAAAGGCATGGACGAGGGCGGCGAGGTACTCGTCTTCCTCGGACGTCCACGCACCCGAGCGCCACGTCGCTTCCGAGGACGCGTTCGAGTGTAGAATGTGACGCAGGTCCATTGCACGAGTCGGGTCGAGACAGCAAAATGTATTGTGCGTGGTGGCGATGTAGCCTTGGACCGGTTCTATATTTTCGAAGCTGCCTTCAACGTGCGTTCTAGAATCAGTGCTTGCGACTGTCCGAGCTGGTCTCACCGACAAGGTGTACACGAGAACTCTACCTCGGCCGGTGCGTAGAGCACAGATCCCAGTCGACGGCGCATTCGCGTGTGACAAGGCTGCCTATTAGCGATGCTGCGCCACGACACCCATGCTACTGGATTCAACTATGTCGACCGACTGTGCCACAACTCGGCACCAGACTTGGCACGAGGGAGTCAGGTTTACGCGAGGGCTTCTCGTGGGGGTAATCGATGACGTGATTTTTTATGGTCCTCGTACGATGTGTTGAAGTGCCATCTGCGTAGCTGTTGAACTGTGCCGTCGACAAGTGCATCGCGAGTACAAGAATGCTACCAGTACGCAACGGAGCAGACGTCGTCCTTGCCGGGGAGGCGTTGGGATTTGCAGCACAGCTGGATAGATTACGCAGAGTACATCTCCATCCGAGGATGTGTTGACGTGAGTTTGTGGTGGGTTTTCGCGTGTGCTTGCGCTAAGCGGGATTCTCGTCACGAACGATCGTGTCGTTCGGCGCACTCTGGCGCCAGAGAGTGCTCTTCAAGTCGTTTGGACCTGCTCTCTAATAGAAGATCGTTTCGCGTAACCATTCGAGCGACGGCTCGATTTCCTCTGCCCGTCAATCCTCTCGTCCACAGCCTAGTGCAGCCGTATAGGTTATGTGACCGAGCTAAATGCGTGTTGGTACGAGCCATAGGACAGTTACAGCTACCGCAGCTTGCGTGCCATCGGCTAACGCGATCGATGATGACGGGATCGAGCTTGACGAGATGACTGGTCCCTGGTAGGAAACGTCCGCTCCCGCACTGCAACGTCGTTGATCGAGGTCCCTTTCTAAAATCACGCGATACGCAGTGATCTTAGTTTCCATGCTTGTGTGACCATCTGCCGTGTCACCTACAGGTTGTACTTGTACATTCTTGGTCGGCAAACTGGTCGGCAAAGACTCTCACGTGGTGTCAAGGGGCAATACTGTGGGCATGTGTTATTTCACAGGGTAACGTTGTTATATCCTCTGAGGTTTCAACGCGGGGGCGCAAGCGTCGACACAAGGACGACGAGACTTCGTTTTACGTCGGCATGGGCTGTCCGGCACCACTGATTGGCTGTCGCCTACTGGAGGGTAGGTATTTTGCCTTCAAGGGTCCCATATCTTGTAGTCAATGCCCATAATGTACCGGACGCCATAGACGAGGCCCGCAATCATTTCGTTGCATCTGGCCTGCTTCCCCGTGCTCGTCGCGCCCGTTCCGCTTGTTGTAGTCGAGTCCCTAGCTGTCGACGTGCCAGTTGGAGTGAATGAGGGTGCGCATGACCACAAGGCAAACAGCGGCTCCGCAACCTTGGGGTCAACACGCTTTTCGGCCACAACGCAAGTACGTTGGGTGTGTCAGCTTCGTTTTGGGAGGCCGCCGCCGCCCAAGAAGGGACTGGTGGGGGGTTAGAAAGAATAGCTAAGGAGAGCGTGCTGCTTGGAGGCGACTTCTTTGGAATTGAGCTTGGACCCTGGGTCTTGGACGTTGAAAGTTTCTGCCTTGCTAACACGGGAACTGCGATACGGGCAACGGTTGAAGAAGGCGCACTTGCTTGGCCGTGGTCCAAAAACAAAGCTTCTCGTGCCGCGAGAAACTCATCCAATAGAACCCCTTTCGGTCATCTTACCAGTGGTACGACGAAGGATTGACAACCTGGATTCTCCGTGCAGCCCGGGACCAGCCGCCCACAGATCGCGGTATGCACATCTGTGGCGATGTGTCTCTCTATATGGAGCTCAAGGACACGATTGGAGAGGCGGCTGTACAAAGCCGACCCGTGCTACCGGTATGCACAAAGAACCAATCCAACGACACAACAAGCGCAACACATCCAGTTTTCACGGCCGAGCTCAAGTCATAAGCATCTTTGTCCGAAGGTCAAGCACTCGCTCGCACCGCAACAGCAACGAGTGCCACTCGCCTCGTCCAGACCAGCCATTTGTCGTGACGCTGGCTCTACAGAAAGATCACGTACGACCACTGGATCTTGGCGTGTCAAAGCCGTGCAGGGGCCCCTCGATGCTAGACGCCGTTGTTGCCATTCTTCTCGGACAGCGCTTCGTCTGCCAGTAGCTCACGGAGCATTAGTTTCACAAAATCGAGGCTCGACAATCTGACCTTGCGGCTTTATCAGGGAACCCTCCAGTGGTGAAGAACCAAATTCATGGTACTGATGTTAGCGTTTTTTGGCTGGATTTGGGTGACGCCATTCGAAGGGCACCTGGTGCCTTAGGCGGCCATGGCGCGCTCCGGCGTGCTGTGCACTCTGTGTCTTACGTCCATTGCTATGTAAGTGCTGGTCGCTGGCAAACACGTTTGATTGATTGATTGATGTCAGCGCCAATGGGAACAAGAAGAAAGGGACATCACCTACGGGGCTCGGGCCCCGTACCTCCTGCGTGTGAAGCAGGAATCCACCGACTGATCAAAAGCTGGTCGACTGAGTGCCATCTGCATCTTGACAAGTCGCAAACACTGGACGGGTTTTTGCCCTCTCAAACGACCGAAAGGATTAGATTTCTGGCTGGGAACGCCAAGTCGCACCGCCGCGTCCACCACCACGCGCGTTTCGCGTCGCTCGGCATGCTGCGGCGCAACACAAGACGATTAAACCTCAAGCTGAGGCCGCCTCGTACAAGTCCAGTCACGGATCGGCGGGGAGCAGTGGTACTGCGGCCCTAACCCTCGTCGCCTCCGACTCGAATCATTGCAAACCATCCGGATGGCGTCCCGGGCAACCGACGAGTCTACAGAAGTGAACTGATATGCCTGCAGCCGACGCGTGACTTGTACAGGCAGAGAGAAGAAATATATAAAAAAGTTAGCACTCTATCGACGGGATGTGCCGCCCAGACCTACAAAACCTACGCGTACAACGCATTGCACGACGCCAACTCATTGCTCGACTGACGCGCTGCATCCAACCTCTGTAGCTTTTCGAGAGCTCGGATCGCCATGGTCCAGTCAACCGGCGACTGCTGCCTTGCCTCGACAAACGTCGCCCGCCCAAGTCGAGGCGGCAAATGCGCACCGCAGAGCGACCGCGATCCCAGCTTCTTGGACACGCGCATCGGACAACACTGCAGGTTGCGAGCGAGAAAAGACCGCAGCGTCGTGCCCGTTGGGACGTTGACGTAGCCTTGCACAAAGCATCGAATGAGCTGCAGCGTATACGCTTCTTCGGCCCGCGACCAGTTGCCACCGCGGCTCGCTTTTGTGGTGTTGATGATGATGATGAGCGCGGCGGTCGTTCCTGCAGTTGACGCGTTGCGGTCGGCGAGAAATGCTCGCCGGAG